GAAGTATAGAATTCCCATATACCCCTCTTTCTGCTGTATAGAATTTCTCCTGTTATTAATATCTTGCATTCATGGGGTACATTTGTTAATGAACCAATACTGATAGATAATTATTCATTAAAGTCCATAGTTTACATGAGGATTCACGCAGTTTTGTACAATCCTATGAGTTCTGACAAATATATAATGTCACGTGGCCACCATTATGTATAGTAGAGAGTAGTTTCACTGCCCTAAAAATGCCCTGTGCACCCTCTATTCATGCCCCATCCAGCCTCCTGGCAAACACTGAGGTTTTTATTGTCTCTATACTGCCTTTTCCAGAACATCGTGGAGTGGGAATCATACAGCATGTAGCTTTTTCAGATTGGCTTCTTTCATTTGTTGTTGTTGTTATGTGCCGTTGAGTTGGACTCAACTCATAGTGACCCCTCCTTGAGTTTCTGAGGAGATATCACTACGGAAGTAGATTGCCCAACCTTCCTTCCAAGGAGTGGCTGGTGGGTTTGAACCACCAGCCTTCTGGTTAGCAGTCAAGTGCCTTAGGCACTATGCTACCAGAGCTCATTCATTTAAGGTTACTTTCAAGGATTGTTTTCCCATAAGAATCAGAGTCCCTGACTGGTGCAAATACATAATGCATTCACCTTCTAACAACTGCCTCCTTAGCCATGAGATCAGAAGAACTGAGTGGTGCCCAGCTACCGTTAGTGAACATTTTGATCAAAGATTCCATAGAAGGATCCTGATCAAAAGAGGGAAAATGCAGAGCAGAATTTCAAATTCTTGTGGACTCTAGACTTTCTGAAGCCATGGATGGTGGGTAAACCCCTGAAACTATTCTCCTGAAATAATCTTTAAACCTCAAACCAAAAATATCCCTTGAAGTCTTCTTAAAACCAATCAAGAGTTTAACTGGTAAAAAAAGATCTGCCTTGAGTATTATGCTCTTTTAAGAACCAGTTATAGGGGATCACATTGACAACAGGAATTAAAAAGGTGTGATGGGAGGCTTAGGGGCCAGTGAATTTATTATAAGAAGGGAGAAACAACTCAGAAAAGGAGGGCTGGAATAGTTGCACAACTTGAAGAATGTAATTGATATCACTAAAAAGTCCATGTAGAAACTGTTCAGTTGGTATATGTTTTGCTATGTATATTCTCAATAACAATCATGGAGGCATAGACTTTCAGAGAAGAAAGATTGGGACTATCCTCTGTCCCAACCCTCCCTACCCCTCAGCTAATGCTCGATTTCCTCTCTAGCATTCCTGCTATAGAGCTGCTTGGCCTTCTTGGTGATAGGGAAGGACTTCTGTACCTTCCATGGAGTCCGTTCATCTAATGGTAGTTCTGGTTTTGGAACAAAGTCATTCTTCGTATTTAGTCTCTGTAACTGTCGCCCAAGGAGCCACACTGTGTACATGTGTATCTGTATCTTTAAAGCCCTTGGAATTGTAATCTGTTTAAGCTCTAATATTTCACAAACTTACTTGGTCATGAACAGTATCTGGCACATAGCAGGTGCTCAATAAATACTTGTTTAAAAAGTGAGTGCATGAGTAATACATCTTTGAACACTTTAAAATGCACCTGTATCAAGGGGCCTTCTGTTGAGAATGTCTGCAAGTGACACTATCAAAAGGGCACAACTGCTTGGATGGATGGGTGTACCTTTCTCCTCTCTATGAACCCTCTGACATATTTATGTCCAACCTTTTTAGGACTTTAAAATATCCTTCCTATGTGAATTCTGAGCTTATATCCTCATTCACGTGGCTATCTTTTATATTACAGAAGAAATATTAGTGATGAGTTTGCAATTTATGGCAAAGATAGTAAGAGCTGGTTTCTTTTGTGCCCTGATTATATGCATGGAATGTCTTGGCAAGTACTTTGTTTTTCTTTAGTTTTCAGTTTGTGCCTGTGTTTGATTGTATACTAAGGAGCTCTGGTGGTGTAGTGGGTAAGGCATTTGGCTGCTAACCAGATGGTCAGTGGTTCAAAGCCCATCAGCTGCTGCTCTGCAGGAGGAAGATGAGGTGATCTACTTCTGTAGAGATTTATAGCCTTAGAAACCTAATGGGGGTCACTATGAGTTGGAATCGGCTTGATGGCAGTGGGTTCAGTTTTGGTTTGGTGTTTGATTGTACAAGCACATGGTTCTTCACCAGAGTCCTTGAAGTGAAGAGCTGCTTGAGTTAGTGTGGCTAATTTTAAGGATGTTTGTCAGTTTACCCACTGAGCCGTTGTGCCATTGAGTCGATTCTGACTCATCATGACCAGACATGATAGAGCAGAACTTCCACATAAGGGTTCCCAGGCTGTAGTCTTTACGGGAGCAGATCTCAGGTCTTATCTCCCATGGAACTTCTAGTGGTTCCAAGCACTGATCTTCTGGTTAGCAGGCAAGTGCTTAACTGTGCCACCGCCGGGCTCCTTCCTATTGAGTTAGTGCCCTTTCTTTGACTTCCCAATCAGCCCTTTTTTGGTTGAGCATCTTGTTGGAGGCAGGGATGACCTATGTCTTTTATTTTGTAAGTAATTGAGCTTTCCATATGGTGCATGTTGACAGGCTTCCTAGCAAATGGGAATGCGGTCAACAAGGAACATGCTGCAATGGGGACTTGATTCTGCTTTGGTGATCCCAGGTTTTTTTTTTTTTTTCATGGTTTGGAGTAAAAGAATGGAAGAGGTCAGCAAGAAGAACATTACAAATCATATTTGTTTCCATTTACATTTCAGGGTGAAATCTGGAAATTCGAGAGGGTCAGATACAAAGCTGGGTGTGTAACTCAGTGTCCCAACTATCTCCAAAGTTGGTCCTCCGCTTTTCTTGGTTCTCAGCAATTCCCCCTCGTCCCTCCTGGCTGCTCACTGAGAACGCTGGGCCTCGTGTTTCCCTTCCTGTACTATTACCTGTCAGTATGCTTCCAGCTCAGAACTTGATCGTTTCTGAAAGAAGTAACATTGTTTCTTTCAACCTTTTTTTCTTTCTTTCTTTTCCCCATTTGTATGGGAATGCAATTTTATTCTCCCAACCGTGGGAAATATTTTAGGATAGAAAAAGTTGGTATATTTTGCTTATGGACCTTCTATGTTGTAGGATCTCATAGAATGTAAAGTACCCTAAAGACTATTAGCCATATTTCCCTCACTCCTGAAGTGAGGACAGTGAGGCAAGGGGTAGTTGGAGTTCAAGATCACAGAGCAGCTCAGTGGCTCAGCCAGTGCTAAGGCCCAGGTCTTCACACTCCAAGCCGATGGCCTTTTGTTTTTTCGCCCTGAGGTCTCTCTTACTATGTGAATGGATTAAAATATTGTGGAGTAGATGGTTTCTGTGTCTGTACACCAGCCTGAATGATATGAGAGGAATCACGTTGTATGTATTAGAACCTTCCAGATCTGCCATCAAGTTCATTAGTTTATCTTGACAGGTACTCTGACTGATCAAAGCCAGGGGCCACATAGGAATATTTGTATGTCTAATGCTCTGTCATTTAAAAGGTGGAACACATGAGCCACTTTTGCAGGCTGCTGAGGGCAGAGAGTGTAGTCCTTTTGCATTATTTCTCTGGTCTCTCCTTCTGCATACCTCCTTCCTGAAAACGTCAGTGTGGGAAACGTGTCTGCAGCGGTCGTAAGCACATTCTCGAATCTGAGGAACATGTAGCTTTGAAAGGATAACAGGGCTCTGCAGTCTAGAAGTGAGGACACAAAATGGTGATGAGCCGCCTTGACCTGGGACGTAACTGGAACCAGGATGGACGTTTTGAAAATTATTTTCATTGTTTTGAAATGAATTATGTGTGAGAGTGAGATGTCATTCTGTAACAGACACCCTAGTCCCCTGTCTAGTGTGGGCCCATTACGACTGCTCTCTTTATGCCCTTGAGCAGGATTGGCCCTGATCAACCTGTTTCCTAGTATATGATTTGAGGGACAGTAAGAAGGATTGTGTGGCCTAGGCCTATCACCAGCAGAGACTATGTCTTTGAAGGCCTTTGTATGAGAGAGGAGCTGGGAAGTAGGGCTTCGGTAAGAGATGTGGAATTTTAAGCATTAAAACCCACAATCCAAAATAACCTAGTTTGATGTCCTCTTTTCTCTTAAAAAGTTACCGCTGCTCATAGATCAGAGGAGGAGGTGAACTTTCATTTTGGGCCCTTGTAGAGTTCACGAGAATGGAACGTTACAAGCTAGCACATCAGATCCAGGGCAAACTAAACCACTGTACAATGCCTGGATGCTCTACCATCTATAATGATGAGAAGAGCTGATGAGGGCTTTATTGAAGACCTCCCGTCGTGCCAGGTGTTTTACATTTAGTTAACACAGCATCTTGAGACATAGCCATTATCATAGACAGTTTGCAAACGAGGAAATTGAGGCTCAGACACCTGCCCATGTTTGAACAGCCAGAAAATGCACCAAGTGACAATTTGAATCCAGGTCTGCCTGACCCCAGAGCCCACATGCTTAACCACTCCACTGTCTTCTCTCTGACTCTTTTCCTAATTCATAAAGTGGGGGAATAATACCTCCCTCAAGGTTATTTTCAGCATCCTATAAGATGAAAGATCTGGAAAGCACTTGGTAAGACACTAGCAACGCTGTGCAGAATGAAAGGCAGTATCTTTGGTAGTAGAAGACAATCCGCTACAGTGTCTCCACACGATTATCTACACTTCATAGAAATCCAGATGCCCTTGGCTTTCTGGGGAGTGAGAGCAGTTTATGTCCTGACCATAGATTTTGAAAAGTAGGTCATTGGTCCTCCTTAGCCAGGGATATTTTCAAGAAGATAATTTCCTCGCCCTGTAGCTGGGAGTAGATAGGCAGTGTGTTTTAGACACAGGTCTGTAGGGTCCTCAAGCTCTTTTTAGAACAAGAAGTCGTATGTATTTGAATACTGAATACTGTTTATTGTTTTCCCCTCTTCTTTGTTTTTTGTAGAATCTGAGCTGCTGCTCCAAGTAAAGGACATCAGTCACTTCTTGATGCAAGACATCGCCTTCTTGTCTGGTAAGCAGCCTTCCTCATATCTTTGACATAAATGCAACACTCAGTGAACAAGGTCAGTTTAGTCCTTCTTCTAGAAATAGCATGATTTGTTTTGAATGATGTAACTATGGTATTCTACCCCTCCCCTTTGCCTCTGGTCAGATATCTAGGGGAAGTTTTGCTTGAAGACAAGCAACTTACTTTCAGGTATCAGAGTAATGCGAGTCATACCATTAAACATTATTATATTTAACAGAGAAGAAAAATTTACTAGGATAGCCGTTTTTATATATGAAAATGAGTGCTTTTTAGGTGTTGAGAATACATGAAATTACCTTACTCTTTTCAAGCAGTTTAATTCTTTCTCCTAAAATAACACCTACATGGTCAGTGTACTTCATAACCATTTATCTCATAAATGATCCTAATTGGACACTCCAAGCTGGCCTCTGTTTTAATGATTATAATTAGTGTAATTTCAAATTAGTGTTGACTTAATTAATGTAGTTTTATGATTTATTTTATAAGTGGTATAAATGTGTGACATATTATCCTTGTAAAATTAGATGTACGTTAGGTTCATTTTTAGGACTTGGGAAATTTGACGTAAGCTTATCAGTGATTTTCAAATTGTGTTCCAAATAGAACCATCTTCAGTGCCTGTTGCCCCACCCAACCACCTCTCCAGAGCTTTTTTTTTTTTTTGTAGTTATTTTTTATAAAGCTTCTTTTTCTATAGTTTCTTTTGATAAAAGAGTTCCCAATGGAAAAAATAACCAGAACCTCCCATTTTAGAATATAAGCATCTCTTTTCCTTTTTTTCTCACAAGTTTACTACCTAATAGAGTATAAGTAATAACAGTTTACAGATTAGTCAATGATCATTTACCCTTACCAGGACCAGACAGCCTTTCTTTTGATGGGTTTAGGTGACTGCGTTCTAGAGAACCCTCTCCTTACCTGGAGTGCTCACTAGCTTCCCTGGTAGGGAAGGGAGCTTGACACATCTATAGTTAGAGGTATCGTATACATGTCACATTATATATTATTTCTACTATTAGTTCTACACCATACCTTATCTATAGAGGCCCTTTGTATAATGATTTGCTAAATCTGTGACTCGGAGTTTATATTTATAGTTTCTCCTTTTGAGTTTCTTCAAAATTCTTGGGTGGATGCAACTACTCCCCGTGAATATCTTCACCCTGTTCTTTAAATCTAGAATATTATACAGTGAAGATTTATCATCACTTTATTTAGTACTTTAGACCAGTTTACATTAAAAGGTAATTTGGGAATGGGGTCTCCCTCTCAAATTTCCCTTGGTGGTAAATATTAAGGCAAAGGGTGAATTTTGTCTTTTTCCATGTGTACTAGAGAAGAATGTGTATTTGGCATTTTTTGTTGAGCAGAATGGTCTTCAACTGTCAGTTAAGTCAATTTGGTTAATAATGTTGTTCAGGTCCACTATATTCTTAAAGATCTTCTGTGTACTTGTTCTACCAATTATTGATAGAGGGATGGTGAAATCTTTGACTCTGATTGTACGTTTGCCTATTTCTCCTTGCAGTCTTACCAGTTTTTGCTTCATTTATTTTGAAACTCTGTTATTAGGTACATAAACATTTAAGATTGTTATGTCCTGATGAGTTGACCCCTTTTTCATTATTAAATGATCTTCTTAATCTCCAGTAATATTTTTGGCCCTGAAATCTGCTTTGTCTGAAATTGACATAGTCACTCACCACAGCTTTCTTTTGACCAGTGTTATCATGGTACATCTTTTTCCATCCTTTCACTTTTAACCTTTTTGTGCCTTTATACTTGAAGTGCATTTCTTATAGGAAGCATATAGTTGTGTTTGTTTTTTATGCAATTCTATATTCTCTGCTTTTAAAGTAAGGTGTTTAGACCATTAACATTTAGTGTAATTGTTCATATGTTGTTGTTGTTGTTAAGTGCCGTCGAGTCGGACCCGACTCGTAGTGACCCCTCCTTGGGTTTCCGAGGCAGTATCACTGTGGAAGTAGATTGCCTCATCTTCCTTCCGAGGAGTGGCTGGTGGATTTGAACCGCCAGCCTTCTGAATAGCAGTCAAGTGCCTTAGGCACTATGCTAATCTACCATCTTACTGTTTTCTGTCTGTTCTTTTTTTTTTCCTCTTATTTTCTGCCTTTTTTAGATTAAATATTTTTTTATCATCCTATTTTTTCTCCTTCGCCATTGTCATATTTTTTTCTTTTGCGAATTGAATTTCCACCCAGAGTAAATGTGTGGTCTTTCTTTTTATTAATAGGATTCCTATACCATTAATTGGAGAGCTCTGGTAGTGTAGTGTCTAAGGCACTTGACTTCTAACCAGAAGGCTGGCAGTTCAAACCCACCAGCCACTCCTCGGAAGGAAGATGG